ATAATATAATTTTACACAATATATGACATATTTTAAATATAAATAGATAGCACATTTTATTATCTCATTCTAATTGAATTTGCGTAACATAACATCAACAAACCAATCACCACATAACCGTTAAATCTTTGTAGATCAAGTAGTGAGATTAGGTTTGATCCCATATGGACGCTTAGGTGTTTGAGTTAGGTGAAATTTTCATTTAGTGTGTGCGTGTATTAGTACAAAAAAAAAAAAAATAAATCATCACTCAACCAACGCTTTAATTGTTATGCTTAATATACTATTCACCCCAATTAAATAGCGACAGATATCAATCTTTTTTTATATATATTTTTTATTTATTTTAATGAAAATTTTAACTTATCATGAAATTATACATTAATTACATTGAAGCAAAATCAGAATCAATGTTTGATTTATTCAAGACTCATTCTCCAAAAATCGATTTAGAATTGATAAATGGATTTCATTCGTAAACATCTTATCATCGTTTCTTCCTCCGGATGTCGGTCACCATAGCCTATAAATTTTTCATTACGTTGTTATTCTCATGGTTACAAAATCTCTTTTGTACTCTCGTTGTTGCCGCCTCCTCTTCATTCTCCCTAGTCTGGCTAGTCATAAAGAAAGTACATTGTTGTGTACTAAATTCATTTTTGAAATCAATTTGGAAATTATTCATCAAAGTATCGGGTTTGGAGTTTTGCAGTTTATTTTACTCGTTTGAAAAATCAATTTGAATTTGAGAGTAGATGCTATCAGTTTATTTGTGTAATTGTTGTGTGCTTTTTGTTTGTAAATCGATTGAAGTTTCAGGACATTTTAATTCATTGTGATTCAGTTTACATATATGAAATTCGGTGACTTAGGCTCGTCATCTTGAATAGAGGCCGAAGCCATTCAAATAATTGGAATAGTGTTTGGTTCAGAGGTGAAAATCATATCAATATTAAATAAGTTGTGCTAAAAAGATAGGTGTTGACATCCAAAGGCACAAAATGCATTAAGATAGAAAGAAAAAAAAAAGAAAGTAAAATCATATATAGATATTAGCTTATAGTGCTGAAGAAAAACGGGGAAAGGATAGAAGAAGTGCCAATGTAAAAGCTCCGCAACTAATAACAAGATTTGATTGCAAATGATAATAATAAAAAAAATTGTTTGAGAGAGAATCACAAATATTAAGTTTTCGAATTCATTTATGAACATACATATCATCTTAGTAGCCGTCTGGAAATGTATATATCTATTAATGACACATAGGAGAATAAATGATTCTCATATTACAAAGATTGAAATAGCAAAATGTGTGAGACTTACTCCAAACCTTTCTCATGATCGTATGATTAAAAATCCGACGGCAAAGATAACTTAGAATTTATTAAGCAAGATCATAAAAACTATTTATGTTCAAAGAGAACTAATATCTTTTGGGCTGACAATAGGATAAAATATGATTATGTTAATTTTGAAGATGTTGTGAATTTTGACACTACGTAGAAAATTATTCTTTTGCATTGTTTGTTAGTGTCAATCATTATAAATAAACAATAATCTTTGGTGCTTCACTTTTATATGATGAGAAAATTTATTTTTTTGAATAATTGTTTGATATATTTACAGGCACCATGTATGGAAAAAAATCTATCACTGTTTTACACATGATTTGGAAGATACATTTATTATTATTGTGAAAAGAATAAGTTTCTACACAAATGGAATAAAATATTGGTAAATATTGATATATTGGAGAACAAACGGTTAAAGATGTTGTTTAGAGTAAAAGAAAATTTGGATTGGTATATGAACATCAATTCCTCTGTATTGATATTATCATGGCGCAACATAATAAGAGTATTAATAATGTCGTAAAAAAATATGTGAGTTTTAACAGTCATTTGTGATTTTTTTTTAAAAAAAAATCATTCAAAAATTTAATTGAATTTCGTTGATACGAGGAGTTGATTGTTGATTTTAAAGCATGTGTAAGTGTTTCAATCCTTATTTTACTTGTTCAACTTTTGAAACATGCTGCAATTGTGTATACATATGAAGTTTTTAAAAATCTTCAAAACGAACTAAGGACTTATGATTGGACGATGGTTTTGAATGGCATGGATAAAAAATTAGTAGTTTTTCATGTTAGTTATTTGGAAATGTTAAGGTATCATGTTGTAAACTTAACTCATATTATTTTTTATAATTGTAAGAAGTTTGAATTTGGTTTCCTTTTGTGTAGTCATGCATTTAAAGTCCTGACAAATTAATAAAAGCTGACGAAAAATGCAAAAAAAAAAAAATCAAAAAAATATAACAATTGTGTACTTAAATAGAGGAGGATAGTAACGGTGTGGGGAGGAAAAGAAAAAACTTATTAGCAATGACAACAAAGATTGGCGATGATAAGAAAAGTTTGTGAAGAAATAAATGCAGTCTTGGAGGGAGGAAATGAATCGATCGGAGGTGACAACAAAAAACCGAGAACCAGCGGAGATTACCGTCAGAAAAAAAAAAAAAAAAAAGACAACGACAACCACAACGGGCATTCATGAGCAACCCAATTAGATTTCTCAATTTTGAATTGTTAGGGACGATTATTGGGGTGAATTTTAGTTAATGTGTAATTTAATGAAAATTTAAAATTTTTATTTTTTAAAATACTCTTTTTATTCAGTAAATTTATATAGATTTGGTTATATAATGAGACTAAGAAATAGTAATACTTTAATATTAGAGTAGGGTAGGCAAAATATATATATATATATATATGAGTATTATAGTAAATATATTAAAGAATTTATAAAAGATAAAAATAAATAATGGAGTAAGTAGAAGATAGTGATCACTTTTATTATTATTTGTTAAAGTAAGAATAATAAAATTTACTATAAATAAATTTTACATAAATTTAGAGAAAAAAAAAACATCATTTTTATGAATAAAAAATAAAAAAATAAATTTATATGAAGGTTGTAACATATAAATCACATGTGTAACTTTATGAAATTTTTTGAAAAATTCCAAAAATAATGACTATATCATGTTTAGTATCAAGTTAGTTCAGTCCTAACAAATAATTAAATAAAATAATTCTCCTAAAGTGCTCTTCCATTGTTTTATCTTTTACTCTCTTTTTTTCATCATTTATAGTATATTAACTCCTTAATATTAGTAAAAATTGTGAAATTATTTTTTTTTAAAATTTAATTAATATAAAATTACTTCATGAAATTTGAAGTTTGTTTAATTTTTATTTGAGTTTGAATTTTTTTTCTATTTAAATGTTAACTTAAATATTATTTTGATATTATATTTTTTATTTTCAAAACTAATACATATTATAAAACCATTAATTTTGAAACCAAATCATTGGGTAGATTTAAGCCCAATTGTGAAGCCCATTAATGAGCTTGGGTAGTTTCAATAACTTCTAATGTAGCTGCTTATGGGGTCCATCATGCATATAAAATTTATATACGTGTAATTGAGTCTAGTTAATCAGATTTTAATTTGAGACAATTAAAAATCACGAAGAGTAATATCGTGACAAAATTATGTCATAACTTTATATTTTGACTATTATGCGGATAATATTTTCAAAAAAAAAAATAACTTTTCGTGATTATTTAAAATAACGATTTATGTAACGACAATGTCCAAGATATTTGTATTTCATATCTTTTGACTATTTCGTCATAAAAATTGTTATATATTGCAGAAAAAATAACCAAAATATTTCAATATTTTAAATTATTACAGATATTATCATAGTATAATTTCGTGACTTTTTAAAGTTAAAAGTCACTATATAAGTAACGAAAACAATCATAACTTTTTTTGTTTAATTATCGTTTGTAGCTATTTAAAGTAACAATAAAATAAAGATATATATATTTTTAATATTTTTATTTTTCTACTTGTATTGTAATTGAATAATTTTTTTTTTAAAACTATTCATGATTATTTAAAATCATGACATAAGTACCAAAATATTTCCAAAATCTTAATTCTATATTTATTTTTATAAAAAATAAAAAATTATTATAACTATTTATGGTAACATTATAAATAATTTTATTTTATTCAATTAATATATATTAATTTAATTTATTACAAATATTAATGTAACATAATATTTAACTATTTTTAGTTATCATATCGATAATAAATTTAAATGCATTGTTAACTTTGATATTTTATGTGATATATTTTTTTTAAAAAAAATGATTGACTTTTAAAAAAAAAATAACAATAATTGATTGACGATAGATGAAATTCAAAAAGTTTTTATACTAAAAAATACTATATGTTAAATAAATAGACAAGGTCAATTTGTTAAAAATTTATGATAATATATTAAATAAATATGTATATATTCTTATAAGGTAAATTTATCACCAATAATTGGTCATGACGATATTTTATAACTACAATATTTCTGGTTTGAATGTCGAGGATAACTTCCAACTTACAAATTAAATAGTCACAAATGTGTGATAATATTATTCAAATAAAAAATTAAAACTAAACCTTAAAAACTACACTCAAAATAGAATAGAATCCCTCAAATTTTGGTTAGAAAATGTTTCAATACGATTATCTAGAAATAAAAGTGTTAAATTAAATTTATGAAATAATATGTGAATTTTTATATGAAAAAAAAATAGTAAGAGTACTATATTTTTACCCAAAAAAAGTATACTAAAAAAAAAGTAGTTCTAGAATTTTTATTTTTTTAGAAAAAAACATTATGTCCAATACATGAATTTCATTGGTAAGATATCTAAAATAATAACACTAAAATATCAATTAATGATTTAAATTTTTAATAAAACTATCCACAACTAAACTATTTCTTGTTAGTACTAAAAAAGATATCGTCAATGTAAGTAGTTCCATAAGAAAGACACTAATTAAACACAAGAAAATAAACACATTCAACCACAAGATCTATCCATAGCCATGTCAAGAAATCCCACAATGCTAAGTACCAATGTTCAAGTTGGATTAAGGTTGTCGAACATTTTATCCCACCTTGTCTCCTCATCGGTACTTGACAAAAACTCATTCTGGGCACCTCCATCACCTTCATGATCGATCTTATCTAAGAAAGGGTCCAAAAAAACATCGATCTTTTTAGGGCTAGACGGCGCCTTATAAGGGCTCCCATTGGTGATCAATAGCCGTGGTCGAACCACTTGAACCCTCTTGCTCCTCTTCACCATATCACTTTGCCATAAAATCTCGCTATGATTGTGCTTAGGCACGAGGGCTAGTGTGGATTCGTGACTATGCGCCCACTTCCTGACATATTTGGAAACGAGCTTTTTTGTTTGTCTGATCGCCGTCAAAATTTTTGATAGGGGGAGCGGGAATTTTTTGACTTTGATTTTTTTGGCGAGCTTGAGGATTTCTAAACGGTGCTTGGCTATTGAAATCCCCATGCTTTGGAGGAATTCGTGGTCGAAGTAGGGTAAGTCATTCTCCTCGAGCTCGTTGTGGGCTAAGATGGCGCTATATTCGTACACGAGGATCGGATCTAAGTTTGTTTTTGAGAGCCAAGAAAACCAATCCATGGATGATTTTTTTCTTTTTTTTTTTTTTGAAGTGAATGTTAGGTAGCACTCTTGTGAAGGGCAAGTTTGTGTGTGTGTATATATATATATATATATTTGTATATATGTTGTGTTTGTAGGGCATGTGATGAGAATACTTTGGTGTGGAGATGACAACACAAGGAAAATAATGCATAGGAGAAATATTTGTTTTTTTGGATGAATTTGTTACTATAAGATTATTAATATATTTAAAACTCATTCGGAAAATAGTAACGGTAAATTCTCGTATCATAACAATGACACACCCTAAATAGTAATTTGTTCATTTATTTTGATTTTTTTTTCTAGTTATTTTACTATTCAATATTTGATTTTTATTTTTATAAAGAATATTACATTTAATATTTATTTTCATGCAACTATTATATTAAATAATTATTTCACCTAAAAATTATTAAAATATAAAAGAAAAATTTATAAAAGTTAAAAGCCCTGTTTAATTTTTTTTTTTTTTTTTAGAGCCCTGTTTAATCAAATATATGTGTCATAGTCAATTCACTATTTAACTAATAATACTAATAATAATAATAATAATAATAATAATAATAATAAATTACCATTAAACGACATACAATTAAAAAAAAAATGTCATAATTAATGCAACACTAATCTCTGGTCAAAAGATTCCAAACCTAAAACAATCCCAAACAAACACCTGCAGACATCACATCACTCAGTGAACCAACAACATAAGTATATGACCATCACTTTAGGGTCTGTATAGTTCGACTTTTTGTAATATTCTTTTTTTTTTTTTTTTCTAAAAACAAGTATCAAATTATTTTTTTATAATTATATTAAAAAATTAAATTTAAATTTAAAAGATCACAACAATATCTATTTATATTATACTATTTATCTATATTATTTTTTAAAAAAGAAAATACCACATTATATAACTATTTTTAAAAAATAAATATTTATGTAAAATATCACCTCCAATATATATTTAGGCCATATCCAATACTCAATTTTTTAAAATACAATTTTATTTTTTCAAAAATTTTCACTTTCAAAATTCATATATAGAATAGTAGTACATAATATTCTTTTGTATCTATATATTTTTTCTTACATTAAATATTTTAAAAGTAATAAAACATAAACTATTTCATGTAATGTCGATTATGAGACATAATTAAGAGGAAGTTTATATTATAAACTTTAAAAATGAAATAAAGAAAGTTTAAAATAGAGTATTTATTTAAACTAATTAAACACTTTCTTGGAGAAAAAAAAAAAGCAAAGGTAGCTAGACTTTAGCATGAAGTCATGCAGCTGATAAAATGACAAAAATTAAAAGTGAGTGACCAAACATGTCACATGCCTACACTTTTTTTCTTTTATTTAATTTTCAATAATATATATATGTGTAGTAATCATCACTAATTAATTAATTAATGTACTAACGTTTACTTTTTAAGGGTAGACTAATTCTTTAAGTATCGTAATTGGACTTCCATATCATTTTAATCTTGTAAGTGGAGCATGTCGTAAATTAGTTTTATAAGTGAAATTTTTTCGATGTTTTAGTCATCCGGCGCCGGAGACGCCTGCGCGGCTCGTCGGAAGCCACGTGTCCGCCAGGTGTCCCGCTAGGTCAGCGACATCTGGCGGACACGTAAATTTTATTTTATTTTTAAATTTTTTTTAATTTTTTTTTTAATTATGTCATACGTAATTAAGGCGCATGAGCACGTAATTAATGCATTGTTTGAGTGATCATTAATTATACTCATTTTACATTAGAGATTCATTGTACTTTAATCTTGTTACAGATATTAAGATCGAGGTTTTTTTCTTTTCTTTGTCATAATACATAATGAAAGACTCTTACTATTTTTATTTTTTTCTATTGAGAATGATACAGGGTTTGTTTATTTGAGAGGTTTTGATTTTGAATTTTTATTTTAAATAGTAAAATTTTAAATTGAAATAGTTGTTTGATATGATATAAATATGTATTGATGTGATATTTTGAATGTAAAATGTAATAAAATAAATAAAAATTGAATGTTTGAGTTGATATTTTTGGAGGAAAAATAAAATTGGAACAATAAAATCTTACTAATAAACAAAGTCATAGTCTCTTTCTCCCGAAATAAGATGATAGTTTGTTTTTTGTACGTAATTTTTTTAATATTAGTATTATATTGTTTATAGTACAAATTAATATAAAAAGAAAAAAATAATTTTTATTAGTATTATGTAATATAAAGATAATAACCGTTGATGTATTTTTTCAACAATAAAAAGTAAAATCCGAAAATAGAAAATTATCTTCGAATTTGATATAATTAGTGTCTGAGATTAGAAATCTCTAAACACTATAGGATGCATAAATAAAATAGGAAAATAAAACTGCAGACTGGAAAAATAAAGTGGTGATCCCCAAAAGCAATTCTCTTGAATTTGATGTCGATTGAAGATGATTTTTCAGAACAAACCCGAATCCTTAAATATTACTTCAAGAAAACGTTTCAGAACCGTCGTCTGATTGGTTACAGTAACCGCCCACCAATTCCTCCTTTATTGACACGTGTCTTTAACCGTCTCGCCAAACGCTTCCACCAGTTCCAGAACTCAACTGGCCTGACCGACCGCCTCTGGGCGCCTTACTTCTTTAAATGGACGGCTAGTCCCGAACGAATGCTCCAAAACGCCCAGCATGCTTCAGACAGACTGCAGGCCGACCGACTGACCCAAACGCATAACCCAACGATTGACCCACCGACCATTCCAGATACTAACTGGTCGCTAAACCAAACAACTTATTGGTCGCCCCATCAAGCGACCAACATCTGATCTCTCCAGACGATTCAATGGTCGCCCCAACCAAGCGACTTACTTAGGCGACTAATTAACAGACCTTCTTCGCTTGGTCCAAACTCCGTATTGGCCGACTCAACCGATGGCGGACCAACCGAATGCGAACCAACCGACTGCAAACCATCCGATCCGACTGCAGACCATCCGACCTGCTTATCCGACCGCGGACCTTCCGACCTGCCTATCCGACCGAGGACCAACCGACCTGCCTGTCCAACCGCGGACCTTTCGACCCGCATGTCCGACCGCGGACCTTCCGACCTGCCTATCCGACCGAGGACCAACCGACCTGCCTGTCCAACCGCGGACCTTTCGACCCGCATGTCCGACCGCGGACCTTCCGACCAGCTTATCCGACTGCGGACTAACCGACCAGATCAACCGACCTCGGACCAACCGACCTGAGTGTATATTTTCTCCTTTTCCGCCCGACTTCGTGTCCTAATTTCTTTTAAGATCATGCTACCATTATTATTATTATTTTGTACGTAACAATAATATTTTTGTAATATATTAAAATTGTAATAATATCTATAATATTAGGTAAATAATACAATTGCCAAGTAATAAAATGTCAATCTTATTTTATGGTGGACAAATAATAATAATATTTTTTATCGGACAAAGAAAGTAAAAAATTAATACAAGAACAAACTCGTTATAACTATAGTACTATATCCGCCCCAACATTGACATATTTTATTAGGTATACAATATTTAAGAAAATTATGTTTAATTAGATAATAATAATAAGATATGATATTATTTTATTATTTTTATGTAATTAATAATATTGTTATTTTAAAATAAATTTAATATATATGATTTAAAAAATTAAAATATATATTTAAATATTTAAAAGTTATACTGAAATAAAAAATCGATATGAATATCATTTATAAAAATAAAAATTTCTATAATATAAGTAAATAAAAAATAATTATATTTATTTATAATTAACATAAATTTATTTTACAAAATAGATGAAGTTTTAGATGTAGATAAAAATTTATATTTTTAGGGGAGAGATAAAAATAAAAGGATTTTGAGTGAATCATATGAGGTATGATGTTATACTTAATTAAATTGATTTATACTCCATCCATTCACATGTATATTTTGCGTCATTATACTTAACATTAAAAATATTATTGTATTCTTGTATTTGTATAATTTTTTTTTTACAAATGTCCTTCTATTAGTATTATAAGACACTAATTGAAGTATTTTTGCAATTTTTTCTTAATTTGTACTATATTTTGATATAATAATTAATATTCAAATATTAACACGTAAAAAGTAAATGAGACCCTTAGAATCGAACGGAAGTAGTATTTGTTAAGTATATTTTAATTTAATAAATTTTATCCAAAATAAAAATATGTCGATTGTTATGAAGGGTGGGTGGAGAGTCATCTCGTTTTTTGCTCTGGTGGAGAGTCATCTCGTTTTTTGCTCTGGTGGAGAGTCATCTCGTTTTTTGCTCCAGTGGGTGGAGAGTCAACTGCTAATTTTATTTATGTTTTCTTTTTGCGTTTATTTTCAAATTTCTCATCAAACTCAAGTTGGTTTCTGTTACACCACTTGAGTTTGAGGGGAGATGTTGAGATATTTTAGATATTCAGTTTTACATTTAGTAGATTTATATCTAGATTTGATCTTAATTCATAGATTAGATTACTTAGATTTGAGTCTATCGAGTCTGTTTTGTATTGCCAATATATAGGCTTCTTATTTTGATGATTAAGAAGACAATCTCGTTATTTTTCCCCAAAATTTTTAACATAAACATAAACAAAAACAAAAATAATGTTAATTGTGGTGGACGGAGCAAGGATAATTCAACAATTTAATAACTCAATGGGATTTAATAGTTTGTTTATCTTTTAATATGAAAAAAAATTCAACATATTTACTTATAGTTCAACAATTTAGCATTATTAAATTATGCCTAATTTAACAAATGTTTTATATAATATAAATTTTAAATTAAATTGACGGATAATCCAAATAATTAACATATGTTAGAATTGTGGAACATATTTAAAATGCAATATATACAATTACCTTCGTCCCATAATTAGATATTTTCTTTTTTAGGTAGTTTTAAAAATATTAGTATTATATTG